GAAAAAGTACTGGAAAAAATAAAATAAAAATATGACAAATCTTAGAAAAATGGCTAAGTTCAGAATCCTAAGTTTGGGATTAAAATGCTAAGATAGCTATTAGTGCTACTACTGCTTAAGACTTAAACCACTATAAATACTCATTTTGCACAAAACCCTAGGCCATATTGGCTTCCTACGTGTGTTGCTCAGCTGCTGAGTGCCTCCCCATTGCTGTCACCTTCTTCCTCTCCTCCTTGTGAGCCAAGAGGGCACATTTCCTCTTGGTTTCTTCATCAAATCTCCTAGTGTGAGTGTGCATTAGACTTGTGAGGGTGAGAGGTAGCCATTTGCTGAGTGCTCAGCCTTTGTTTGTTAGAGTGTGTGGGCTGACTTCATGGTGGGAGTTGAGGGAACCGTTGTGGTGGCATTTTGAGCTTCAAGAAGCTACCTTTGGTGAGAAAGAACCATTGTGGTGTGCCATTTTCGTGCACCTTCAAAGTCAGAACCTTTGGAGCTGATTGAGAGCTCCAAGAGCCACCTTGCTTCTGTTTTTACCCTTGGGTAAGCTTCACCAACCTTGATCACGAGTTTTCTTAGTTAAAAATGAAGCATTGACATGTTTAATAGGAGGAACAAGTAACCAGCGTGATAACTGACCTAAAAGGTTTAAAGATGCATGCTTTAACGTTCTAATGTGTTAAAAATGGAACCTTGGGAGTGATATCTCGCGAAATGCAGAAATTGCATTCTGTCGCGAAATATCTGGATATCATATCCGGATATTGATATCCAGATATGAGATCTTGTGATATCCGGATAAGCATATCCGGATATGATATCCAGATATTATGAGAATTTCGAGACAGTAGCTGTACTGTTCATACAGAACGACATTCTGGGTTTGTGAACCCATGATTGGTTAATGTGGACTTCTGTAATAATTAATCTAAGTCAGAATCTATGGGATTAAGGGCTTATGGCTTTGTGAGAAGCCTAAAGACATGAAACGTAAAGGGAAAGCGTTGTCTTTATGTTATATGCTTGTAAAGTATGATTGTTGATGTGATTGCTGGTCTAAAACAGATTGTGATTCTGCTGTTTGTGGATTTTGAGCTGGTTGGACTCTTGTTTGGATAGTTAGCTTACGAGGTAAGCTTTTGTGTCCTCGATTTAGCCATTGTTGGTTCCACCATACCCCTTGGAGGAATAGTTTATATGCATGATGTGTTTTCATCTATTGATTTATCGAAATGATTTTGAGCTGTTAAGTGCAAATGCCCTATGATATGTATGTGATGTTTCGCCTAGACGGGAATATGATCCTGTGGGTAGGTACGACATCGGCGTGTACTATTGTGGGTTGTAGACGTACGTACATCATGCATTCCTCTGGCCAGTAGAATAGTTGACACACATGACATGATTATATGCTGCATTGCACTGATTTTGGAACTTATACTGTTTTACTGCTTTTGAACTTATATTGCACATATAAGTGAGCTTGGGGTGAAGAAATCCTTGAGGACCCCTTGCCTTACTGGGATTTCTTTTTAGTGATCTTACCCCACGTTTGGGGCACATATTTCAGGCTCAGGTAACTCGGGGGTTGAGACCTCGGGCGGCAGGAGGCCGGAGCTGATGTGATATGCTTGCTGTTTAGATTATTTTGCTTGGATGCTGACTGCTTTACATTTATTATTATGTTGTTGTTGTTGAGACTCTGTTGGGCTTTATTGCCTCATTTGGTGAGCATGGGGGTTGTCCATGCCACATTGATTGACTATGTCTGATTTGGATTCGAGTCGTATTAATGTATCGTGATTATGTCCGGACTACGTGTTGTAGATCCGTGACTTAGATACTTACCTTTATTTATATATTGAGGTTATCAATGTAGATAGCTGTTTATTTGCAATTACATACAGGCAATATTTTGAAAGTGATTTAAGTAATTAACTTGGTAATTGATAATGACGTCATAATTGAAAAGAAAAAGATATTCCGCATTTTTAATTAAGCGTGACTTAATATGATGACATGATAACAAACCAGGTATACACAGGGTGTTACAATATTCAAAATCGTATTATGAGTATATACATTCAATATTTTATTCTTATTCGACATTAGTATTTGAGAAATTTAACGAATCGAGCTAATTTAGATTATTTTATTTTCTCCCATCAATATTTGTTTTTATTAGAAACAAAACTATTTGAGTTCCCTGTAAGAAAAAGATTGGACTAATGAAAAAGCTTTCAATGCTGTCGAGTATCCTTCTTTTTTCAAAAAGTTTTTCGAATGATTCATTTTTATATGGAAGTGCACATTTTTGAAACAGCCATCCAACTCGAACCCCCTCGTTTTCTATCTACAGTAAAACTTTATAGATTATAATTGGAACTCGCTTTCAAAATGTTTCCAAAATAATCAATTCTTTAAAAAAATACACTAACGTTCCTAAATAAAAATTCTTTTTTTATTTTATCAATGTCATATGAATTTTTGCTTATTCGTAATAAACGAATACTTTTTTATTTTATTTTGGTGCGCTATTATTTCTCTATAATCTAAAATAATGTTTCTAATTTTTATTTTACAAAAAATCACTTTTATTTTTTATTTTTGATAATTAAATTCATTTGTATTTTATTAAAAACAAAAAATTCTATTTTTTATTTTCTGAGAATTTCATTATTGGCCCATTTTTACCTTAAACTGAAAGTATTGTGCAAAGATTGAACTGTTCAATTTTTATTAATTATTAACCGAACCCTTTATGAAAGAGATAAAACAAAATTCGCGAATAAGCAACAAAACTCATTAAGAACCAACATGTATTTTTTTAATGGACTATACACATCAATCCTCATGAAAAAGGGGACTATTCTAACAATATGTTTTTGTTCTCTATTTCTATTTGAGAGAATCTTTAGGAAAAGAAAAAAATTTCCGTCAAGCTAAAGAAAAATATGTCGATGTTTCTAGTAAACTAAAAGAATATTTAGAAAAATAAAATAAAAAATAGAATATTTAGTTATGATTAGAAAAGAAATCAACTTTCTATATATTTTCTCATGGATACTTTACTTATACTCAAAAAAACTGGGATTCTTGATCAAATTCCAAAAAACTTATGTTTCACAATTTTATAATTCCATTTGCCAATTTAGAATTGATTTTTCTCAGATACAAATTATGATAATATATATTATTCCTCGAATCATTCGTTGGAAGGTATAAAGTATTAAACTTCGTTAAGTAAGAAATATAGTTTTTTCGTTAGGATATGAATCTCAGGAGAGATCCCTTCACTATTTAAGGGTCCATAAAACGAATCGTACATTTACCACTAAATTATACTCGTTACAATGCAATTATTGTATATAATGGGAGCTTTTGTGGATATGGGGAATAAGTCGTAATTAAGAAATGAGAGCATATTTTTCTGCTAATTAGAATAATGACTTGTTTCGTAAAGGGACTTCCTAATGAAATTCAGAAATGGAGCCTTTTTTTATTTTTGGATTTTGTTTTTTTCTAAAATTGTTTTATTTTGACATATGCATCTCGAAAATTACTAAATTCATAACATAAAATGTATTGTGGAAGAATCCATAGTTACATTATTTTTTTTAGAGATATGATATTATTACTACCAATTAGAGTTACTACTAATATCACTACCAGTTTATTTCACCGTTAGATCGATTATATAGATCAAACGGTTCTCATTTAACTTTCTAAAAACATTCTTTCTTCTCCCTATATTTAATACTTTATATTTATTTTGACCTTTGTATGATTATGATTCTCCATATTTAATGCTTTCAGATTAAATATAGGGAATCATAATCATACAAAGGTAAAAATAAATATAACCATTGAATCAACATAATCGATCTAACGGTGTAACAAACTGGTAGTGGCATTAGTAGTAACATTAATTGGTAGTAACAATATCCTATCTTTTTCTTTTTAATTTGTTACCAAGAAAAGGAATAATAAAAAATGAAATTTTATTTTGATTGATGTTCTATCATTTTGGTACTATATTACAGGGATCAAAATGTTTTTTTATTCAAATTTAAATAAATTGTTGTTGTCTGGAATTCATGGGAATAAAAAGAGTAGCCCGACCATTACCTAGCCGGGCTCTAGCTATAAAAAAACAAAAAATGAAAAAAAAACACTTTTAAAAATAAAAAATATCTATATATAATGTAGGTTTTTATAAAAAAATAAGAAAAAGTAAGATATAAAGAAAAGAATAGTTTTTTTTCCAATTGGAGAGAGATGGCTAAATGGACTAAAACGTCATATTGTTAATCCGTTGTACGAATTTTTGTACCGAGGTTCAAATTCCTCTCTTTTTGTTTTCGTTGGCGATTTGGTAATTTTATTTTTTGAAATTACTAAGATTTGTTTGATTTTTTTTAATTTACTAGTTAGTGAAATATATAAAATAGAAAAAATACTCAAAATAAATATTTAAAAATTGGGCTCAAGCAAGAAAAACACAAAAAAAACAGAATATGTAAAAAAAATTTATTCTTCACATCTCGGATTGCCTCCTGGGATCGTTAGATAAGAATCCAAAGATGAAAAGCTAAACATAGAATATCATTACCGTGTAAACAAAAAATAAAATAAAATTATTAGAGTAATCATTCAAAATATCTGGAATAATAGAAAACATAGATCCTTATATTAGTAAAAAAAAAGTTATCTCATATTATTAAAATAAAATTATAAGTGAGACTCACATATAAGAGGAAAAAAAAAAATAAAAATAAAATCCAACTCTTTTTTGTGTGTAAAAATTTATTATATCATGTTAAATGAAATAAAGATAACCCTTCTTGTATTACTCGTTATGTTTATGCATTTTCTCTTAAAGCACATGATTCTATTTGACTATTTGTTACTGCCACGCGCCCTACATTCTCCGTTTAATTTAAAAATATGCCTAGTTGCATACTGAAACCAGCTTTTTGAGCTTTCATTCATTCCATCATATCTCCATTTCTTCCTACTCGCTCTTGGCGGAATATCCAAGGAACTAAGAACACTTGAACGCCATGAATGTACTGCTTAATCCAGAGCCTTTTCTCTCTCCAGTGAACACCATTTTCCCCAACAAACCACGAAACTCCACTCGCTTATGTGTTCAGCCATTTCCTAAACTCTTCACCGAATATCGCCAACGTTGGGTCGGGCGAAGGCATTCTTCGACGGTGAAAGCCACGTTGGAATCGGCCACTATCGAGCAATTCGGGATTCCAGAGTTCGATGATCGGAATCCGGCGTTGTCTTCTTCGTATCGAAATCCGGCATTACCGATGCCCAACCAGACGGTGTTGGAAGCCCAAGCTAGGGTTTGCACCGGCCCAATGCAGACTCGACCACTCGATGAACAACAAGCCTTCAAGGTGTTCGATACAATTCTAAGATCAGGTTCTTCTTTCACTCATGTGAATATTTTATTGGTGAGGTGTTTGTAAATTGTAATCATAGTAGAATCTCTAGTCTTACATGTTGGTTTAGTTGCCATAGAATTGAGAAGAAGAAGAATAGTTAAAGGGTTTAAAAATCAAAGGATTTTAAATGGCATGTCCTAGTGCTTCTGATTACTTTGTATTTAAGCTTTTAGCTAGGGGAGAACTCAAAGATGAAGAGGAAGTTTCTAAAGCGCAACTCGGGGCGTTTTTCGCGGGGATGACGATCCGTGCGAATGCCTTCCCAGAGGCAACCCAATGGAGTGAAGGGGAAACACGTGCACTGAAGACGTTCTGGCCACTTCTGGTTAGAGCTCTTCCACCTGATGTAGTATTTGTGGCGGACCCTGAAGGGTTGATGATGGGGGTGGGAAGTTCAATTGGACCGCAATATGTTGGCAAGGGCACCAGTGAAATGAGACTGGTTGGTGCTCTTAGGGAGGTGCTGGCTGGAGGCCATCTTGGATTTGAGGAAGTCCAAGGTGTGTTAAGGGAAGTTCTTCCCTTCCAAGAGGGTGGTGAAAAGCCTCAAGGTGTAAGTGAGGCTTTGCTTTCGGCTTTTTTAATTGGTCAACGCATGAACCGGGAAACTGACCGTGAACTAAAAGCATACTGCCTTGCATTTGATGATGAATTTGGTATGATTTTCAATCTGATTAGTCAATCTTATTCTTATTCTGGCTTGTTTTCTACTATTTTCTAAATCATCACAGTTAGAATCCCTGTTGTTAATGTTTTCGTAAGTTGATTCTCAGGCCCTCCTCCTGTTGCTGATGTCAGATCATTGACTCACTATGGTGAACCTTATGATGGGAACACACGCTTCTTCAGGAGTACATTATTTGTTGCTGCGGTTAGATCTTGCTATGGAGAATCTTGCTTGCTTCACGGTGTAGAATGGATGGCACCTAAGGTGTGTCAATTTTCCTCTGTGTTGGGTGTTTAGGTTGTTTTTGCAGCAAAGTAAGATGCTTAATGTTCTTGATGTCTGCTTTCATATTTCATGTAAAGAATCATCTTTTATTTCTGGAGTAATCTGTTGTTTTTTGTTTTTAAGGGTGGTATAACTGAAGAGCAAATCTTGAAGTTTATGGGGGCAAATATAAGCTTATCCCCTTTCGAGGCCAAGAAACTTCTCGAGGTCTTTTTGTTTCCTGAAAATATTTTTTTAACACCACCATAATGTTTTTCTCACTATCTTCTTTTAGTCACTATATATAATAACATTTTTGTGTCTCCTTTCCAGGATGATGAAGTTGGTTTTGCTTATGTAAGTCAGCGTGAAGCACGCCCATCTCTGTATGAGCATCTCACCAAACACTATTAGTCCAAGCCTTATTAACTTCATAACATAGAGGGGCTTTTATTGGCAAATGTTTTGATGCTTTTCCTTTGGTATTTCAAAATTTTGAAAAATAATTTGTTTTTATAGTCCTGGTTATTCATCTACTTGTAGACATCTGGATTATTATACTAAATTATAAGTTAAATCACTCATTTAATCCCTAGAGAGTTTTATTCTAAATTCTATTTAGTCTCTATAGTTCAAAACCATTGAAAAAAGTTCCATGCAAAATGCTCCCTCTAAGCTAATTTTGCTTCCTTTTTGGAGTGAAACTATAAGGACCATATTACCTTGTTTGGAAACTATAGTGACTTTTTTGTTGTTAGGAACCCCCTATTTATGAAAGTAGGTTTGAAGTAATGGTGGACCCAAAGAACCATGTGATCCAACTTCTGTTAGGTAGGCCTAGTTAGTTCCCTAACTGGGCGGTTAACAGGGATAGTTCGGGAATTCCAACAGAAATAGTTAGTTTGTTTATTGAGATTATAAATAAGGTTGAGGGAATGCATGTAGAGTAGTTAGACAGTTAGTAAGCAGAGAGGAAAGGCTAGAGACTAAGATTTCCGGAGGTTAGGAGAGTTGTGAGAGAAAGTCATTGTAATTTTAGAAGAGTTGTGAGAGGAAGTCAGTGTAATTTTCTACCTCACTCATCACGCAACCCATCTGTTCTTTGAGAGGAGGAATATATCAATAAAATTATTCTCATCATTCACTTTGTTTTACTGTTAATTCTATCATTTGCATTGATTGAAATCTATAGGGACTTTTTAAAATGGTTTTGAACTTTAGCACTTAAATTGAATTTGTGGTAAAACTATAAGGACTAATCCATTGTTTGGATGTGAGGAGAAAATGGAAATAAGATAAATAGATAGACAAGTGTAGGTGAAAATAATGTGTTTTCATGGAGAGAGAAGTGGAAAAAAAGAAAATAAAAAGAAAGTTATTTTCCAATATTACCCCTAATCAATATATTTTTTCCGCTATTACCCCTATTGTATGCATTTATTAGTATGCTGCATCTTCTCTTTCCTTCTCTAAATGTGAGCCAAGGGAGAATTTCTCTGCTTTCTTTCCAATGATGGGAAGAAAACTTTTTAGTGGGTCCCACCCTTAATTTTTTCCTTCCACTCTATTTTTTTGCCAAAACAAACAAGGGGAAACTATCTTTCATTCATTTTCTCTTGATCGAAATGATTAGTAAATGTGTAATTTAACCTAATTCATATTGCTATTTTGGAAAATCTTTCATTATGGTGTTGATATCTATATGTATGAGTTATAACAGTAATATTGGAATGGAGTAAGTTAAACTTGTTATTTTTTCTGCAGCTACTCTCTAATTAGGATAAGGGAGCACATAAAGAAACGCCCTCCGCTTGCAACAACTGAAAAGGTTCAGCAATATGTAAAGGTAGGATTAGACTTAATTTATCTATTGTTAATTGTCATTGATCTCTCTTAGTTTATTACAAATGTTTATTTAAATTTTTAAAGCCACCATCATACAGAAGACTTGATGCTCTGTTCTTAAAGTCTCAACATGTTTTTAATTCATCATACAATAGTCTATTTAAAAGGGGGCGAACTGGAGCAGTGGTAAAACTGTTCCTTCATGACTGAAAGGTCATGGGTTTGAATCCAGGAAACAGCCTCTTTGCAATTATGCAAGGGTAAGGTTGCGTACAAGGATTTTCTCCACCCCACACTCGCTAGTCGGGTTTAACGGGGAGTGGTTTTTGGTTTTATACAATAGTCTATTTGTTTGTTTTAGATGTGTCATAATTCATTAAATGAACTAATGATTTTACCATTTCCTCAATAACATAGACCATTTAATTGCTCACTCTATATGCCCGTATCAGAAGGTAAGGGAGTTTTATGTGCATGGAATCTGCTAAATAAATCAGTAAAAAACTGTGGTAATTTTAGGGCAATCTGAATTTGTTAGAATAAAATTTGTGTGTAGATGTAATACTTCAATGAGTAATGAAGATTTCAGCCTAAGGAATGTTAACAAGTTATAATTTGATGTTGAAAATCACCAAAAGGAAGTTCTTGGTAAAAGCTTACAAGTAAAACTTATTTTTGCTTGATGGACCTAAGTTTGTATATACCTTTACAAAGATTAATAAAGGGATCCATGTCCATCAACCTAAGAATATGGGGGCTGTTAACAATGATATGGGAAAGGTGGTTATGGAGAGAGAAATGAAGTTGGTTAGGGGGAATAGATGGCAGATTTTGAATGGAGAGGAAGAGTTCGGAGAGAGTGGAATTGGTGATGGGGAAGCAATATATGGAGAAAGGGAAATATTGACAAGGGGTATGAATGAATTACACTAGTCTTTGGTTGGGGAATTTGGGAACTCTGGAGTCTAGGTTGCTAGGCCTTTCGGGGTAGTAGGATCACACCATATGAGTAATTAGGGGTCGCTTATCGACACCTGTCTTTGTTTTAATTTGTCTATATTGTGTTGCTTTCCTTAATTATGAAATGATGATCTGTTGTAGGAGCTAGGCTCCATTTGAAATTTTTAATAGAAATACTGGTACCATCAATTTGGTATCAGAGCACCTCCGATCCAACGGGTGCTTGATGGTATGGATCTTTGAGGGAGTGAAAGCCATGGGAATACATCTTGGAGCTCTAGAGAAAGCTAGCATGTCAAAATTAAAAGAAATGATGCAGAAAATGGTAAAGATTCTAGATGAGTTGATAGAGAAAATGGAGACACCAATCTTTGAAATCAAGAAGCACAATTTCGATGGCACTGTTTTGGTGGAGAGGATGGAGAAGGTTGAGGTAGAGAATGAGGTGCAAAAAAAGAAATTTGTAAAGGAAGAAGGGAAAGATGCAACAACACCGATCGAACCTATATCGTTAATGTCATTTTATTTCCCATTGGAAGTAGGATGGAGGAGTGGGAGAAGAGTAAGCTCAAGCCGACAACCATGGAGATGCGAGTCATACTCAGTTCCCCATTAGCTATGGCTAAGCATCTACTGGTAGGCATGAGAAGCTTAGTCGATGATTAGAGTGTGAAGGAGGGAAAGACGAGAGGTCATGTTGGAGATCAACAAAGATTGGGTCACAATTCTTGTGTAACGGACCAAGCCCAAACCAGGGTGGATACCAGTTAAATACACAACCACTGGCTGAGACAACAAAAGCTAGGCTCGAGTATCCTCTATGGGCAAAGAAGAAATGGGGGATTTTGCTGACTCTGCACATGCGTATGTTGGTTATGTTGCCTCTGCATAACCGCTAGATCCAGGCCTGGGCCTTCGCTGAAGATTCTTCATAAGAATAGGGAGATTCAGTCCTAGCGGATGAGCTATTGCACTTCGTGAACATAGCGTGGAGGTGGTTGATCCTTGGGCTACCATCAAGTGTTGGTTTGTTGCAGCGGCGATTGTGATTGGGTGTAATAAATTGGTGGAAAAGGTTACATTTGATGACTCATTGGAGGGGGTGTAGTTGCACGAAGGGTGGGGCGTGTGGGGGAGTATGTGAATTTGGTTTACCTGAGAAAATTGGGTCGGCCTTATAGGTTGTTCATGGGTGGTGGATTGAAGTTTTTGGCGGCTCATGTGATTCAGTTTTTGGTTATTACTAGTTGGGTGAGTGCCACCATAGGTCCTTTTTTCTTTGTTTTGAATAAGATGAAGCTGCTTTGGCTCTTCGCTGGTGATGAGCTTATGGGTACGGATCTGACACGACATCGTGGGTTTGCTTATGCTTATGAGAATGAGTCGCACAAGAATGCGTTTGCTTTGTGGAAATTGCCAATTTGGGGCTGTGAATATGGGAGAAGTGATGGGATTGGGGGTTGGAAGCTGAGACCAACAACCAGCATTGGGAATATTCAAGTCAACCAAATAGCAATTGGAAGGTATTCCCCTCGTGCAGTAATCAATGATGCTTCCCCCATCAACATGGAAATAAAGCAATTATGCACACATTTAGTTGACTTGAAGAAAGCTTATGCTCAGGAGATGCAACAAAGTGTCTATGCTAAATATGCTGCCTTCATATGAACGTCTAAGAAGATATCAGACTTAGAAGGAGAGCTTTCATCTATCAGAAACCTGCTATTTTCACAAGCTGCAAGTGATTCATTGGTTATTTTTGGTAATGGTATTTGAGATGTGGATTTGTCCATTGGTGGATTCACTCGTTATCTACTGCTATGATGTGATACTAAGATTGGGTCAATATATTGCACTGTTTAAAGCTGAAGTTGCTGAGCTTCTTTTGCCTAGTATTTTTGTCAATATCTCTCTGAGGAAGGATTTGGAGATTGGTCTTCAAAAATTAAGCTCTCTGCAGTTGTTGAGCGTATATTTATTGAGTCGAATAAATTGATCAAATTGAATCTAGAATTTGCTGAATTGCAGTATGAGTCCTTGGGTGGGTATTCCAGTGGCGGTTTTTTTGCTTCAAGCATAACTAGGTCAATATGCTTCAAGCAATTGGATCCAGGTGGATGAGTCTCTCACACTGGTGATAGGATCCTGACCTGTTCGTTCACCTTAAGGACAAGGTGAATTTTGTAAAGGGAGTATCGATGGGCCTAAGTTTGTATATACTCGTGGAAAGATTAATGAAGGGATCCAAGTCCATCACGCTAAGAATTCGGGATCTGTTTCTAACAGTAATAACGGAAATAAGGTGGTTATGGAGAGAGAAATAAAGTTGGTTAGAGGGAACAGGTGGCAGATTTTGAATGGAGAGGAGTTGGGAGGGAATGGAATTGGTGATAGAGAAATGATATATGGAGAAAGGGAAACATTGAGAAGGGGGCATGAAAGAATTAAACTAGTCTTTGGTTAGGGAATTTGGGAACTCTGGAGTCTAGATTGCTAGCTCTTTAGGGGCAGTAGGATCACACTCTACGAGTAATTAGGAGTCATTTATTGTCATCTGTCTTATTTTTAATCTGGCTGATTGTGTTGCTTTCCTTAATTCTGTACTGCTGGTGTGTTGTAGGAGCTAGGCTCCGTTTGATATTTTTAATAGAAATACTGGTACCATAATTGCTAAAAGGAAATAAAGGCGATGGGGGAATAATTTCTTCCTTGGATACCTAGAGCTTACGTATCTTTCTTCTACTTCACACTTTCACACATTGTACACTATAAATACTGTTTTCTTCACTTTTAGCTCATTTTGATTGAAAGCCTAAGGGTAATGGAACTAGGAGCAAACCTGCTACACAAAGGCTCCCCAACTTTGTGAGGATAGAGTTGAGGGTACCTTTGCATTTTTGCAGAGAGGCTGTTCTACAGATTTGAACCCATGACTTTCTTGTCACAAAGGAGCAACCTTACTGATACTCCAAGGCCTGACCTTAAATGGAACTAAGATTTACAACTGTTTTGAAAATATTAGGAGGAAATGAAGTTTTGATTGAATCATATAAAATTCTGTAATTTGACTGCAAACTTGAACATAAGTGAATAGAAGAGACCATGAGTAGGCAAAAAGGTATTTTTGTTATAAACCTGAGGTAGGCCAATTGAACTGGCCCAAGCAATGAGGTAAAAAGCTTGATTTGTTTCTTTTTTATTTATCTCTTTAACTTTTTGGACAGAAGTCACCATCTGTTTATATAGTTAAAACTATATTTTTCAACAGGCAAGAGGTAAGGAAGCAATTGTTGCTGGATTTTATCATGAAGGTTACGAAGAGCCATTGTTAATGCTCATGAAAAGAAGGGGTGTACATTCTGGTTTGGTAGTGAAGGTTGGGATTTCACTTTTTATACATCACAATCTGTTAACTTTTCTATTTTATTTTATTTTTATTTTATTTTATTTTTTGCATAAACTATTGTTCGTATTATAAACTTTTGTTTTTCTTCTCTTATTAACATTAGTTAAATCATCCTAATATAATATTTAATACTAAATAACGCTTAACATTTTAGCTAAAGAAGCCACTTCATGTAACCTTGATTATGCTAATACTGTAGGGAGAGGAAGGGGCTCTCTCAATGACTACAAGATTGCGATCAGCTAGTACAACTAAGGGACTTCCGGTGAACTTCTGTTCAGGGTTCCGTTCACTTGACAATTCATCCACATCTGAACTTGGTGGTATGTATTTGGTTTCCTTGCCTACTTCTACCTATTATTTATGTGCTTAAATGATTATTTCATTAAAATCTGAGTCCATAATTTTTGTTGTTTTTGCTTTTGTTTTTCTTTCCAGTGCTCATTGACAACTCTGTCACTATGCCAGTTTCTGATTAGCAAACTGATAATTCTGCTTTACTTCACATCTTTAGATTGATACACATAAATTATTGTTATTTCATAATGCAGGAGTGACACGTCAAGGTTTTAGTCTTGAGGTCAATGCCAAGGACTATGGTTTCCAACCCACAGACACACCAAGAACTGATAGATCCGTAAAGTTCTCTAGATGTTCTATTCTATCCAATGTCTGGAACTTATTAAAAATATTCTTGCTAATCACACTATCTAATAATAGGTTAAAATATTTTCTGTTGCTGTTGTAACTAAGGGTTGCATGTTCGTTAAACTGTGTTAGAACCTTGGCCAAATCTTTGTTCCTTCAATCCAATATGTATGCAATTTCTCTGAAAATTCAGAAGCCACTTGCTGATACCTGTATTCTATCTTTTGATTTTCCATTGCTTCTTTTTTGTTTCCTGGTCATGCTGTGGTAGATTTATAGATACCTTTTCTGGTCTGTAGATCAGTTGCTTGCCTTTCATTATTGTTCATCATAGGCAACAATTACTATCTGGTCAAGTGTGTCTCTTTTCCACTGCATAAATTGTGTAACCATGTAAAGGAGTGTTAATAGATGTAAGGAATTGATGGGCCCTCTATAAGCGTAGAAGGATGAGAAGAGGAAACCAAGCCCATCAGAGAAGTGTGATGAAATAACAATTCCTAAGGAGAATAACAGAATTCAGGTTGTTAAGGAGAGAGAAGGGAAGTTGGTTGAGGAAGTGGACAGCTGGCAAGCCTTGAATGGAGAACATGATTTGGGAGGCAACAGAATTGGTGAGGCAGGGGGTTAAAAGGAGGGAAAAGAAAGAATTGAGGGTAATTGATTTCTGAGTAACTTTTGGGGAAGGGAATTTGAGAACTCTACAGGATAGGTTGTTTCTTGTAGAGGGAGCTATTATCCATCTGTTAATGTCTTTTGCCTCTGTAATTTTCTTCTTTAACCTTTTCTGTTTTACTTCTGCATTCTTGAGTGCAGATTGTAATTTGGTACTGTTCTATTGGAATTGGTTGTAAGGGGCTGTTTCCCTAATTCTTGTAGTTAATCAATTTTTCTGGTACCATCAGGAGTAGACTGAAATCAAACTGAGGAAAACTGTGATAAAATAATGGAATGGTTCCAATTTCCGAGCCTTGAAACTAAGGAAAACTTTAGTCAAAATATGTTATGGTTCCAATTTCTGAGCCATTATTGCGGCCTGTGCCCAAGTCGTTTTGGTATTATCTTCATGGTTTTTGATGAAGTCTTTTTCAGTGAGCTCTACTCAATTTTCAAACAAAATGTTTGAATAGTAGAATATGTATTACATAAACTATTTTTACTCCTTGCATATGTATGTTCTGTTTTTCTCATGAACAAATGGATGACTCCTAGTTGTTTCGAATTGACTTTGGTCTCTTTTTTTTGAATTCTTTGGCTGAATGTTTATTCTCTTGATGACTTATTGGAATCTTAATCTGCAATTAAACCATTATGTAATGTAATATCATCACGACTAGGAAGCCTCTAAATATGTAGCCAGTTTTCCTATGGAGAGAGCTGAAGTTTTTTTATTGGCATTTTTTTTTTCGTTTTAAACTTCAGGTCTCAAAGAACATTGAATTGGGTTTAGCAGCTCTCTCTGGAGAAAAGGGACCAGCATATGACCGAATTGTCTTGAATGCTGGAATGGTGGATCATTTGCTTGGAGTTGATGGCGCAGAAGACATATATGTTGCCCTGGATAGAGCCAGAGAGGCCATTGACAGTGGGAAAGCTCTGAAACGTCTCCTAAATTATATCAAGGTCTCCCACAAAGTGGGTTGAATTAGTCCCAAGTTGTTGAGCATTGCATATAACGTTTCTTGTACAATGAGCTGGATACGTGAGGGATGGAAGGAAAAATCTCAAGCTGGTTCCTTTCGATCCCAAATAATGTAATTAAAAAAAAAAAGAGAGACTAGAGTTGATTCATTTTACCCTTCAGTTTTGAGGTTTTGGTTGCCTTTGTACAAAACTCACCATCATACTTGGAAACAACATATAAATAGGTGACATACTAATAGTCAATTTTTAGAAATTTTTGTGCTTTGTTTTATTACAAGCAGAACACTTGTAATTTTCTCCAAATTGTTAACATGTTGGATTAGTCCGTTTAATCCAATTATTTTGGAGGGTCAGTTGAACATTTTAACATGTCAACCCAACATATTAAGATGGGTTAAAGTGGTCAATTAGTGAGTTGGGGCAAATCAACCTGCAGGTCAATATTTTTTGTATGGTGGCAAGTATGTATTATTTCTCATGTCAAACTTTTCGGATGTCCAAGATTTTTATCCTAGTCCTTCTCTCCAAAAGATGGAGAAGAAATCACTTGATTTATCAAGAAGGTTATCCACGTATTGAGGTAAAAATGAGTGTCTTCTATTTTTGTTCTTGCAAAGAGAAAATAAGATATGAAAATGTGGTTATAAGAGGTTGTAAATGAAAATGGTTGTAAGTACAACTTTTCTCTTAAAACTATAACTATTTTGATATGTATATTTAATTTTTTTATTGAAAATCTAATGCGTTAAGAAAGCTTCAAGTAGGATTGCTTTATCATGTAATACACGAAAAATATGTAAAACTGCGGTTTGAATTGATAAAACCTGAAACGTATCAAAATCAATTACTCAAAACATGAGTTACTGTTGTGAGAAATGTAAAAGAGTTAGTATAAATACATACAAAGAAGAATTCCAAAAATTCAGATTTTTTTCTTAGCTCTTTTTATTCTATATTAATTTTTATTTCTACTCCACTAGTTAGGTGACATGGATATAATAGAAAATTATTGCTAATGACTTTTTACCTTAGAATTGCTTCGATATGTTCCACTGATAGAGTTGAATAAATATGAAAGAGGGAAGACTTGAAAATTTTGTATATAATGACTTCCATTTAATTGAAAAGTAAGGATACTTGGTGGCACTTTATAAACTTAATGTATTGGATTATTATTGTCACTAAGGTAATATGTACCCAAATGATTTAGTTGAGGTTTAACTTTTCTCGAGAGTAAAATCAAAACTAGAGGTTACACACGTTTTCACAATTTTTTCAAAAAAATAAAATATTATAATTATATGTAAAAACAACAATAAATATTATAATAATTGATAAAAATAAGCAAATATTTATAATATTTGTGTCATTTTAATGATTAATAGTCCAAATTGATTCTTGAAAAATAACCTTAATTGATGATTTTGATGTGAAACTGACCCAATTAGTGATGAGATCAATTGGGTATATCTTACTCTGACTTAGAGCTCAACCACGTGTAAGCCTCTTGCAATCAGTGCCTTCCTTAGTTTGGGCAATCATTAAGTTTATTCACCAAAGAATAAACAATTAAATTTGTTGAATGTAATTTTTATGCAAATGCACTTTATTATATGATACATCTCTTATTTATTTTATAATCATATTTTTTATGATTTTATAAGAACGGTGTATTTTCTATATTTACACAGAATCTGAAGATTACTGAGATTTATTTTTTCACTTGTTTTTTTTATTGTCTAATCATTCTAGATTAGTCTACATAGATTGGATATACTCTGGTGCCAGTTGAAAATTACATATTACATACATGTTGCACATGCAATTCCAATTGTGTAACCAATAATCAACTAGTTCTAACTAATAAGTAGTAGACGTTACAACATCTTAACTGCTTCAACACCCTAATTTACTTAATGTGCTTGCCGTAATAATGTTCCAACATTTATTTCTCAACAAACCATTATTATTGATGGTGATGACTTTTTTCTACTTCTTTTTCTCAGTATAGGATAACCCCAAGGAGTTGCGCGTTTTTTCTACCAATTGAGGTCATCCCTTCAGAACCTATTGACTAATTGTTGGTTGAGCAATTTGGATATCAAACAAACCTTCCTAGAAGGTAATTTAAATGAGATAGATTTTCCTTGTTTAGCAATTAGTTTCACCCTAGTGCCTGCTACTTTAACTAACTATCCATCTTTATTAGTGTGATTTCTATGTTATGCGTGATTGTGTCTAAGGACATGTCGGTTGAAGTATATTCTAATTTTTATCGATCAAAACCCTGAAAAGAAAATGTGGTCTTCTATGAATAATAACTCTATACTTGCTTTCCAAAGTTGTTATCCATTATCTTTTGCTTATCATAAATCACAGTATCTCAAGAAATTAATTTCTCAAACAAAGTGAGGCATTGCGAAAAGATTTTTACAACTCAATTCATCTCCTCTTGAGTTTTGAGGCCACTTGTTCAACAATGACCACTATGACGTAATGGATCAATGCTAGATCACAATCAATTAATATATATGTATGAAAGAAAATCCCAAAGCATACAAAATATGCTAGAATATTCTTTGACCGCTTATATTCTTACATAATATAAATGCTAATAGTCGGACAACAAGATTTTGAAAAGGTAACATGTGTGCAACTTGATCAATGTAGAAGATTAGGGAACAAATAGGTTCACTTAAAATAGTTCGAATAGACAAGGTATGCAAGTCACTACATCAACAACACAATGCATATAATGTCAATCAATATAAGTAGTGCTAAAGTACAATGTATCAGAACCAATATATATTTGAAATTCCAAGTCGATTTGCTTCCATAAAACGTATTATTTGATCAAGATTGTAAAGAAAGAATAGCTAAATAATAACACAAGAGTGGGGTGAATGTGTTTTAAACTATTTTGCAAATAACAAAGAAAAATTAAAAAACCCTTTTTTTCAAGAAAGCATGCAAGAGAGATTTAACAATTAATAAAAATTCTCAAATCCTTGAAACATATTCATATTATCAAGAACAATGAATCAAAGAAGAGTAAAATGCAGCAAAAAATAAAAGAGCAAGGGAAGAGAAGATAACACCAAGATATATTCTGGTTCACTCTCTACCATTGAGAGCTAGATCCAGACTGAGACCGATCGTTCCACTATCATCAAGCTTCCAACCGGTGCTTGAAGAAATCGTTTTACAAGAGAAATTTTACAATACCCGTGATCTACCTAATCACGCTTAACCTAAACCCTAGGATCACTCCCTTTGAACCAAAAATCAAAACTCAATTGGAATTTTATAAGACCGTGACCAATCCCTTGACCACTCTTAACTTAAACCATATGATCACTCCAATTGAACCAATCACAGAAGCAGAACAACCTCCCCAAATTCAGAATTACAAAGAAAAATAGAGGAAGAAGAAGATTAAAGAGCTCTCTCTAGAATATTAAACTTTAAGCATAATGCATGTACTTGTGTGATTCTAACTCTAATGCATGTAATAATACGCTCTCTTATGTTTCTGAACCCTGAAACATGATTTTATAGCAACCCAAGTCGGTTTAGAAAAGATATAAAAATATTTGATTCAGATTTAAAAAAAATATTACGTGATTCCCGACAGATATCCGGATATATGAGATGCTGTATCCGAATATTCTGGATTCTGATATCTGGATACCATATCCGGATACACAATCCATATATCCGAATATTTGATGACAACAACCCAAAATGCATTAAAATTTGATTCAAATCATTTCTAATTAATTCTTTCTCACTTCTCACACATGAATGCATGCTTCTATCATCAATATTATAGTGTTTCACATGTGTGAGACTTGTATGCATGAGTTTATGTTCCTAAATGTAAACTAGAGAGATATAGCTCAATAAACTCAACTTCATACAACCTAAGACTCTAAAAGTACATAACACTTAGTCAAAATACAAGTCTTCAATTATCTTCAAGTGTCTTCATCCTTTGAGTCTTCTAGGTCCTTTCTTCACTTGAATCTTTAACTTTGGTGTTGACTTTGCACATTTGAATTACTTCTTCACTTTTACATGTTGCCTTGGTCTTCTAGTACCATTTGAGACTTGTTGCACTGCTATCTAACTTGTGCATCCATATTGAGCTTGTTGGTGTTTTGTAATCATCAAAACTTCAAATGTATAAGCTTGGAAATCTATAGTTCAACAAAGACCAATATGATATCTCAAGATACAAATCCAGCCACTCAAAAGTACAAGTATGATTCAAACAAACTATAAGTACAACCACCAATTAGCAAGGTATCCAAACTGTGGTCCTGAGGGAAGCGAACAAGGACTTACTTGAAGAAGTTTAGAAATGAGAACCTTTGCCTAACATTCCTCCCAAAGCCTGATCCTGGGACCACAACCTGTGGTCCTTAGGTTTTATTTTGTATGAACAAGCCTTACTCTGTGAACAAAAACCTGTCTTTATTACTTAATTTTGTTGTTAAGTTTGTTTTTTGTCAATCAGTGTGCATTTTAGTTTACTTTGTAGAATCTGTTGTTTGCTTTTACTTTATGAATAAAAAGTTATTTTGTTTGAAAAATTGTTCAAGAACAGAGAAACTTATATTAATTTGTTTATGAGGAACAAGAAATATGAACATGTTAAGTTCCAAAACATAAGGTTGACTCAATCGCACGATTTTTAAGGTGAAAAAGGAAAAAAATGAATTTGGACAGTAGGACTTCTAGGAGTATGATCCGAGTGAACAAAGCTGTGAGGAATCAAGGCAAACACTTTTAGTTGTTCTTTAAGAGTGTGTTCTAGTGTTTCTATATTTCAGAACTTGCATTGACATTGTTAGTACTGTGAAATGCTTGTGAGCTTCAAAAGGAAAATGGATATGTTTCAAAATAAGCCAGAGCCCAAAAAGTCAACCCTCATATCATCACCACTAGACCCCCCCTTGAGCTCGAATCACTTTTATTCTTTAAGCCTAAACAACCTACAAGCCTGAAAGACAAATCCATTTCTAGCAGAAAGGGAACAAAAGAGCAAACAAACCAAGAACAAAAGCAAATGAAAAGCTGAAGAATTAGAAGGAAATGTCAAAAGAAAAGAAAAAGAAGAAACATTATCAAGAGTTGAAAAAATAAAGCAGAATCCAAAAAGGAAAGAAAAGCTAAAAAGACAGAAAGAAAGGAAAAGACATTCCAGTGAGTTAAGAAGATAAGTGTTCCTGGTAGAAAAGAAAAATTAGTGCAGAAGTGTTCTGTACTGATAAAAAGCCAAAACCAAACACTTCAACCTAGACCTAAGCCCTAATACAAGCCTCAAAGTCCCTTCGATTGAAGCAAACAAGTATTTAGTAGGAAAAGCAGAGGATATTCAAGCATATGGTAAGGTGGATTCATTGGAACGATGAGTGAAACAACATCCTGATGAGTGTTCTAGGGTGAGGAACGGATTATAAGCCTTGCATAACTTGGAAAGAATTCATCCTGATCTTAATAACTAGAATTGAAATTCGATGTTGTGTGAAATTTGTATTTTGAAAGCTGATTTGTGAATGTTGAATGTATATGAATAAATTCATTAATGGTTATGTCTGGTTGTTTGGGGACAAACAACGTTTAACTTTAAATAAACCCATCTCAAGCTTTTCGCATGATGGAACGCTACTTAAATAGTGTTCCCAAGTTGCATATCTTAATGAAAAATACCAAAAATACAATAAAAGCTGGCCACATCAAGTATGAGAGAGGAAAAGTGATAAAAGGAAAAATTAGCATGAGAGAAAGAGAAAAGTTGAGCTATACCCGTTATGCTTTTTATTCCCATTAACTTCTTATTTTTTACTTTTTGCAAGGTGAAAGAAACACTCACTCAATAAGGTAGCCACTACCTTTGCAATCATTACACCCAAGCAAGAAAAGAGTGAATAATATTATTAAAAGGACATAGTTAGTTACAAAGAGAGAGAAAGAAACAGACAGCTCATCAAATCAAGGCCACTCGATACAAGCAAAGGAAGAGACACTTCAATCCAATGGTGGAGAAAAAGGCAAAATTAATTACCAAAGAGCTACTCCTTGATCGATATAAAAAGGAAGGAAGAAAGATCCAAGAGAGATATTCTTCGCTAACCTCCTCCCTTACAAACGTTATCTTCCCTGTTCTTTGTTTCTGGGTTTCTTTTTTCCATTTTTCGTTCTCTATTTTCGAGTCTATAATTTTTGTTCTCTGTTTACGATTTTCATCTTCTCTTTCTTGAATCTCGAACAGTCTGTAATGGGATCTCAAGTGGATGAAGTATTTTCTGTATTTTCAGCCATGTCTGTAGACATAAGCTAAGTTTCTTTGGGAATGGATAATCTATGTAATTGATAATCTCTGTAATAGAAGTTCAATTCTGATTTCAATGGATTTATGGTATTTTGTGCTTTTACTATTTTATTTTAATGGAAATTGAAATAATCTTAGAAAGGAAATTCCATTGGGAAAGGATTTCAGATTGCAAAATAATGGTTAGAAGGTGAAAGTGTGAAAATACTTTCACTAGTTGTCTTAGGAATAAGGAATCACTAAGTTGAGTAAGGTCCGGTGCAGTGAATACTTGGGAATGAAACCGCAAGGGAATGTGAGGTTTCATATACCATATAGCCCAAGAGCTCGAGGAATCAACATTGGCAATGAAAAGTGGTCCGAACAAGTTCATTAATGAGGTACTGAGCTATCACAACTAGTTTTTAATGAAAAAGTGAATATGTTCCTATTTGTTTTATCATTATTCCATGTTTTTCTGTTAGTTACTATTGTTCTGTTTACGTTCCGGAATTTTGAATATAAGAAAAATCAAAAGATTCATTTCAATTGTGCATTGATGCACAATTCTACTTTACACAAACATTTATTCCTATGACTTGTCGTTTCTCCTCTCGAAGGAAAGACTAAAATTACATAACGACGCGAGGGATTATCAAAGTGATCTGAACTATCTGTCGGAGTGGGAACGCCACTATGATAGTTAGGAACGAAGAGCTTAGGGTAGTTTAATTCTGTTTTTGTACTCTTATTTTAACTTTAATTCAGTTTTATACAGTTTGGTAACTCAAGATAGTGACAAGTTCTTCCTGGGACGATATACGATATCTTGGGACTTAATACTCCTTTTATTATTTGGACGCATGCGGTTGCGCATGTGCAATCATCCTAGAGTTATTTCTTTGGTGATATGTGAACCAACAAAAATCAAGTCAAATGTGAGCAATGATGCATAAATTAGGTCTATAGTAACCCAAACTTGGGCTAACGTGTAATGTTTAAAATTAAAGTCATTTCAAATTAACACTAATCACATGAATCAATTGGCGCAAAGTTATTCCAATTTAATCAATTGACACGGGTAAGTGAATTTTTGCCACCAAGGGGGCGTTTGAAACAACATGTTAATTTAATAAATTAGATGACTAATTTGAAACAAAAATAAGATAGATAAAAAAAATTATTTCTTTTTTTTTTAAAAAAAGTTAAAAGCAAAAGCATTTTTTTTCGTTTTTCTGTCCTCTTAATTACTAATTTTTTATGAACAACTTCCTATATTTGTCATATGAAGATATAAGTATCGTTACTTTAGTTTTGAATTTTTTTTGTCATAGTTTGAATCTCTCAGTTCTGTGAATCTGAAAATTGGAATCAATTTGATTTTTGTTTTTGTCGAACCAAGAAAATGAGTGTAACAAAGTTATAATTTATGGATTAATTTTATAATATTTTGCTTGATTAACGAACTAAATAGATGATAATTTACATTATTAAAAATCGCTTATGTTTTCAGAAGACAAAAATAGAAAATTGTTATATATATATATATATATATGAGGGATGATATTCTTACTATCAAAATTTTCTACTACTAACTTACTACCTATCTAATCACCATTGAATCAAAGAGAGAAAATGCTACAAAGTTTTTGAAAAAAGAAAAAATGTTGATCCAATGATGATTAGATAGGCAATAAGTTGATAGTAGAAAATTTTGATAATAAAAATAACCCTCCTATATATATATATTCTTTTATCTATTTCTCTTGCAGCATCTTTGAATTCCCCTGCCTCGAGCCACCATTAAAGTTATTGTCCTTAAATTTAGAGTTAAAAAAGCTTTGATGAAATTCAAATTTGATGACGATAAGGATGCAGAAACTTCAATCATCAATAATGAGCAGGAAAAAACAAATTGCGCAAAACAAGATTTTGATGGCTGGTGATATGATTCCCTATAAACCGCATCTTCAAAAAGGGTGGCCAAAAGGAAAAGGTAGTTTGTATTGCATATGACTTTAGCACAGGGGGAATAACTTGGGATTGTTATTTGTCCCAATAAAATTTTGGCGCCAAATTTCAACCTAATCTCTCTCTACAAAAACTTGGCGCCCAAATATTCTATCTATCTCTTTCTAACTAATATATATATATATATATATATATATATAATATTATTTTATAGAGTAACCGGGTGATCCAAAGTTTAGAAAAACAAAAAAAGTTATTTTTTTTTAAATGAGGATACATTAACTTAAAATAATATTTATAAATCATATTTTATAAGGGTAAATGAATTGTTATGTTACATAATGCAACATAACAATTTCTACTCTCACAACGGAAAGGAGAGAGAAAAGAGAAGAGTTGAGATAAAAAAGTTAAAAGGTGGAGCTCACATATAATTGTGCAAATAGGAATGTTTTGTTACATCATGTAATATAACAATTCATTTATCCATCTTATAACTTAATAATAATTTATCGTAGTTGACTAAGGATTGGTATCCTAAAATTGTCACTCTCGAGAAAGAATTACATAATTACCATTATCGAAAGATGAATTAGATTTACAAAACCCATTACATTATATGATGGAGATTCTTTTTTTCTTTTTAAAACAGTATTTTCTATAAAGAGATTAGAGTAATTTAGTTGTTTTTTTTTTTTAAGATCATGAGGTGCTATTAGATTGACTGAATGCAGAACTAATCTCTTTTCATGTCACAAAAGTTCGTTCAAATACAAGCTCAATTTGCAAACTTAAATACATGTAAGGTTAAATAAATTTTTTTTAACAGCAATGCTGTTCTTATATTTGGTTTTTTATACATACTTTTATGGTAAAAGGAAAACAAAAAAGATTTTTCCCCCTCTTTATTATGAAAATTAAGTGAAAATGTGTCTATATTTAGATTAGTATATTTTATATTTAAAATAATTTATATTCAAAAGTAGCACTTTTTCTTTAATTTTTTTTTTTTTACATGTCCTGGTTGATGTTGCGTTCAGCAATTTTCACGGGCACCCGCATCTACCTCTCTTTACAAGTGTAGCTTTCTATTGGTGTTTTGTTTATTTATTAATTTATTGGTCTCTGCTTATGTCACGAGTTTCCTCGGGTTCCCTCTTTCAGGCTTCGCCAATTGGTTCATAACCTCTTTTCTAACACGCAACATCCAACGTCACACTCTCCTTCCACTTTTAAAACCGTATCTTATTGTTCTCTCTCCATCCCTCAAAACTCTTTCCCACTCTCTTCTCTTCTTTTCTTTTTCCTCTGTTCCCTCACCTACAACAACCTTCATACACACAAACTCCAACGTCACACTCTCCTTCCACTTTTAAAACCGTATCTTATTGTTCTCTCTCCATCCCTCAAAACTCTTTCCCACTCTCTTCTCTTCTTTTCTTTTTCCTCTGTCCCTCACCTACAACAACCTTCATACACACAAACTCTTCACCCTTTTTCATGAGTCAACACTTTCCCACTGGGTTTCTCTGATTCCTTAAAGAAACTAAAGAAGGATAAAAATAAATCCTTTTCATTTTGGTACACATATAGGATTATATATATATTAACCCTGAAACAGTTGTTGCTGTTTTGCTCGATATGGGGCTCTCAGAGAAGTTGCAAGTAGAAGGAGGCTTTGAATCCGATAATAGAAAATGGGTCATCACTGGAATTGCTTTAAGAGCGCCATTGAAGCCAATATATACCATTCCTGTGGAGAAGGGACAAGAAGAAGACACAGAGACAGAGGAGTGTTCAACAACGCCAAAGGGTGTTGAATCAAAGATCCCAACACCTTTCACGTGCCCACCTGCTCCTAGCAAGCGAAAAACTTCTTTGAAGTGCAATTATCGTGGTGTCGTTAGAGAGTTCTTCACGCCACCTGACTTAGAAACTGTGTTTATACGCCATGTTGAAAGGGCTAATTGAAAGTACTAGCTAGGTTTTGGTTCTCTTGTAAAATCACTCCCCGTTAAACCCGACTAGCGAGTGTGGGATCAAAAAAATCCTTATACGCAACTTTATTCTTGCATAATTGCAAATAGGCTATTTCCTGAATTTTGTGGTGTACCTTAAAAAAAATTTCTCTAGTTTTTCCTAGTGTTTTCTCTGTTTTTCTTTTGAGTAGTTAGAGCTTTCCTAGTTCAGAGATTAGGACTATTTTGTATAGAGCAGTTCAACAAATAAATAAAATTACATCTTTGCTTGCATGCTTCATCTTCTTTTGATCATGAATCTCTTCATATTACTTTACCAGCTCAATTGAAATAGCTTATTTCCTATTTTTTCATTTTTTATTTTTTAAATTTCTTTACCTGTTGTTGGATTATTTGATTAATCCAATTTGAGCCAGGTAAGACCATCATTCTCATTATTAAGTTTTTAATATAATTATTTAACGAGGAATCAAACTTGATATCCCTATTTATATTAGGACAATTCCATAATAGTTGATCCAAGTATTTGATCATACTTATTTAAACCTAGTTGTTTGTGCTTCTTTTGACATGGTTAAAACTTAAAAGGGTTGTAATTACTTATAGGGTTTTATAATTCTCATTTAACATGAGAATTACAATTTTCCTACACACCCTTCGATTTTCGTGCTGACATGAATCTTACATATAATTTTTTCTAACACATGAGTCTCACATGCTTTTTATCTCTACAACATGAAATTTCAATTCTCCTTCAACCCTTACTTATATGCAAAAAATTTACTAATGAGTAGTGCTAGTTCACCGATTTGTGGAGATGTACAGAGATGAAATCAGAGGATCTATGTGTGCCTACTTGTCAGTACTGTTCATGAACACGCGCAGGAATGAGAAATTTCAAGTCAAAATCTAAGGAAGTAGGTAAGTGTTTAGTTGCCAAATGCGAATGGAGAGAGTACAAACAATCCTTTTCAAAGAGGTGGGATGATGCTGCACGGCTACTTCTCATTGCTCATTGACTGAAACCAAAGCCCCACATAAGTCCTTAGCCAAGTACCTGTTTCCCATTACACTTTGCTATTATCTTCACTACTTAGAGTTTAGGGTTATACACACTTACATACAATGCCCCATATGTCCATTGATAATAAGTATGTTTCTTTGTAACCAAAAAAAAAAAAAAGTAAAAAAAAAAAAAGTATTCAATGCAGATTAGTATTTAATATTTGAAATTCATCTTATAAAAAAATGTTTACCTAAGTTTAGTTAAATAGTTGAATATAGTACAATTTAAATTCTTTCATGTGTTCATATGAAAGTAGATTGAGTTAAAGGTGTTGTCGATGTTGATGTTGATATTGATATTCACATGAAAGTAGATACTTGGGTATAAAAGTTAGGGATAAAAAATAACTCGAGTCGACCCAAGTTAAAACTCAGCTAATTATAAAGTGATTTATTTATTATTTTTTTGGTAGGTTGTGAGTTTATTTTTTAATTCACAATAAATCAAATTCAAATTTTATATTCAATATTTTTTTAATTTTACATTTTAATTAAAAAAAGTATGTAAAAATATAAGAAGCATATACATACAAGTTGATTCACTAATTAATGAGCTGAAAATAAAAGTTTAAACTCAACTTATTTAACAAATAAGTCATTATTTTTAACATAAGCTAAGGTCATTAGTAGGAAATTTAACTTATTAAGATGTTAATAAATTAAACCATTAGTAACTTGTGACATAACTCACACATAAATGAGTGTGAATTACCATAACTCTCTCCAAATGAACCCCACCAACCCCGGGCTTGTATTGATAGTGAGAAGGTTCTCCGTTATGCTTTTGTGATATTAGCTTATGGATTCATATGGTAAAGCGACAAGTCACATGTGAGAGGGAAGTATTGGAATCCTATGCTAGTGGAATGGCCCTCTTTTTTACACTTCCAAAGAGATGTTCTGATGGCCAATTATTGGAAGATTCAACACTATCATAATAATATGAAGTCGTAGTTATCCTATCTGTCTCGTTTTTGTACAACTATTAAATACGGAATGTTTATCATCAACATTTAAAAACCTCACTAGTTTACTAAGTGGGGATTTCGCTAGAGAAAGTTCACCTAATAATGTGAATTAAATAATGGTTTCTAGGGATCGGATATGTGATTGGGGAATAGTATCCAATCCACACATGGTTAAAGGAGCTACAACAATAGATTATTTGATTCCGTTTAAATAAAATTTTGGGTTCCAATTTTTGTGAATATAAAAAAAAAAAATTGAAGAGTTAGTCTCATCATGATGTGGGTGTTCTCAGCTCGAATATAATTATCGCTGGTGGAATATACATTTGAGTGAAAAATCACTCACATAAATTGTGTGAATTAAATGAAGGGATTGTATTGTCTTATGCTGTAGAAAATGAAATTTTTTTCCTGCAGACTCATATATGATGCGCTGTCATCTGTTTTATTTATTTTTCTTGTGTTTCTTGGTGGGTCCCATTTTTGATTGAGTGTGTAGGAAAAGAGATTTTTTTTCCTATTGCAGAAGAGTCATATTCCCCTTAAATAAATCAATAATTGACACATTATCATTTTTAATGTAAAATAATTTTATAATACAAGGATTTATATCAAATTATTATAAAATATAGATTCATTAACTATTTATTAATTTAATCTACACAACTTGTACGGATGATGTATAATAATAAAAAGTTTAGATTTTGCTTGACTTGTAGTGGGTCATTCGTTGATTATCTTACTTCAATTAAATCTCATTATTGGAGACCACATGGAGATGAGTAAAGCTTATTGGCACATAACCACGCATATATGATGTGCATTATTTTTATATATTAATTGTTTTTTAGAAAACATACTAGAAGATTTGGAATGGATGGTGTTTCTAGAACCATGAACAACAACTTGCCACTATAAAATAATACCTGTCCATCAAAAACTAAATTAATATTTGAGTTTGTCTGTAGCGAAAAAAATTGTTTTTATTTTTTATTTGTATATATAATAATGAGTTTTATAATTCTCATTCAACATGAGAATTCAAATTTTCCTACACACCTTTCGATTTTCGTGCTGACATGGGTCCTATATATAATTTTTTCTAACACATGGGTCCCACATACTTTTTATCTCTACAACATGAGAATTAAATTCTCATTCAACGCGAGAAAATCAAATCCCTGTGATAATAACATTGAGGTTGGAACTTACAATTTCATCTAAACTATCAAAACTTTCACCATTAACCCACTTCTAATAGCGTTTTATTCTGTTGGTACAATTGAAAAGAGGAGAAAATAAACTCGCATGAAGTCAGCCGTAAAGAGGGACCAAAAGCAATCTCGAAAATAGCAAGATCAGTATGCCTCGTTCGAAGCTCCCTTTTCTGCAAGGTATCCTGCAAATTAAGCTCTTGGACTCTTTGAAGGCACTCCAAGAAAAATGTCCATGCCTAATAACAGTGTATAATATTGGAGTTTTATAAGAGTTATCTTGTAGGAAAAATGATTATGTAATGTTATAGAGATTCGTTTTGCGTGCCGTAGTTTTTTTTTTACTTCAAAAAATGTGGGTCTCACAAAATGTTATGTGTGTAAAAAATTTTCTTATGTCATATGAAATGATAAATGCAAATCCAATAATATTGTTAGGAGGCGGAACAGAAGTCCACGGGATGGAGAGTTATCATCAATGACTAATTAAGCAACAAATCAGACTATATAATGGAAGAATACGTGAATCTAATATCTTAAGATTTTGGGTTAAACGGATTTGTGAGATAGTTTATTACTTAATCCATCGATGGTATGTCTTCATGTCTTGAATCATATATATATATATATATATATATATATATATATATATATATATATATATATATATATATATATGAGGCAGGATCCTTTGACACCGGTGTCAAAGAAAAAGTTTGACACCTCATCTGAGGACCATTAGATTAAAAAAAATCAATGGTGTCACATGTTTACAAATCAGAATCGTTGATTTTTTTTAATCTAACGGTTCTCAGATGAGGTGTCAAACTTTTTCTTTGACACCGATGTCAAAGGATCCTGCCTCTATATATATATATATATATATTTTTTTTTTGGAGTTACCTAACCCTAATTACCTCTTTGAGACGAGTTGGCTCCCTCCGGTATCCCCACGAGCTTCGACTCTTTGAGCCGGCTATGGGACTAATCCGGAGTGCGGGGGAGCAGTGATGGCTAAAGGTTCAGCCCCCTCCCCAAGAATGCATTCAGCAGGAATCAAACACATGTCCAACCTCACTAACTCAGCGCCAAATTACCAACTGAGCTGCACTCATTGGGTTATATATATATATATATATATATATATATATATATATATATATATATATATATATATTGTTATTATCAAAAGATGTTACTATTAATGTTACTATCATATTTTTGTTGCAAATCGACAATCACACAAAATCGACAAAACAGAAAAGAGAAAAGAGAAGAGAGATTGACACGGTGATTTATTCTGGTTCACCCAATATAGGCTCCGTCCAGCTTGTCTTACCATATTCATCTCACTGCCACTCGTTACAAGTCACTCGATTTATAAGGAGAATATAAATATGATTACAAAAAATCCTAACAGCAGCTATTCATGGGTCCAAGCCCAAACTACTAAGAAAAGGAAAATTTGCAATAAATCAGAGGCCCATAACAGTACTTAGCCTCTATGGGCCTGGGAGCGCTGCCCCCTGGACCCTTACCCGCTCACTTGGGAGTGAGAGTCCAGTTGGCTTTCTGCTGACCCCGACAACAAGAGCCCTCATCAGTATGTGAAATATGAACCCATCAATTTTAACCGTTGATTTCCGCTGATTTATCGTTTTCACAAATCAAATTCATTTATTAATTATTAATTCAAAATAAATAACCGTTGATTGGTGAAAATTAACAGTTAAGATATGGTAGTAACATTAGTAATAAGATTATTTGGTAATAACAAAATATATATATATATATATATATATATATATATATATATATAAATAATGGAGATCACTTATTATGATTTGATTTGCTGTTTAACTCACTACTAATATGTCTCAAAGATATTAAGCAAGCTTTAATTTTCTTAGTTGGATAATAGAAAAGGAATGGGATAATTTTTCAAATTTTAGAGTGGACAATTTTTATTAGATATGTTCCATA